ACATTAAAAAAAACTAAGATCATGTCCACTGGTCCCATCACCTCCTGGCAAATAGAAGGGGAAGATATGGAGGCACTAACCGATTTTACCTTCTTGGGCTCCATGATCACTGCAGATTGTGACAGCAGCCACGAAATGAAAATACACCTGCTTCTTGGGAGGAAATCAATAACAAACTTAGACAGCGTCTTTAAAAAAGCAGAGACATCACCTTGCCAACAAAGGTCCGCATCATCAAAGCTATGGTTTTTCCAGTAGTGATGTATGGAAGTGAGAGCTGTACAATGAAGAAGGCTGACTGCCGAAGAATTGATGCTTTTGAATTGTGGTGCTGGAGGAGACTCTTGAAAGTCCCCTGGACTGCAAAGAGAACAAGCCTATCCATCTTGAAGGAACTCAAACCTGAGTGCTCACTGGAAGGACAGATCCTGAAGCTGAGGCTCCAATACTTTTGGCCATCTCATGAGAAGACTCCCTGGAAAAGACCCTGATGTTGGGAAAGTGTGAAGGCAAGTAGAGAAGGGGACGACAAAGGACAAGATGGTTGGGCAGTGTCATTGAAGCTACCAACATGACTTTGACCCAACTCCAGGAGGCAGTGGAAGACAGGAGGGCCTGGCGTGCTCTAGTCCATGGGGTCATGAAGAGTTGGACACGACTGAATAACTAAAAAACAACAACATTTCTGAATAGGGGGTAATAGTTTTACTTTTAAAAATAACTCAAATATCCTTTGCCCAAATTTCCCTAAGTTTGGCACACAGCAAAAGCAGACTGTCTGCTACAACTGAGCCAAACGTGATGCTAATTGAAAGCCCAATTTGAAAGTAATAAATTTTTGTTTGGGATGCCTCCATTTTAAGAATTGCTTTATAGAATGTTGATTTGCTCTGTCAGCAGAAGATCGCTGCTACATTCTCATGCAACAGTAGTTATACTTGGGATCAATCAATAATGTAAGCCTTAGCAACCCAGGATGCAGCCCTAGGCTGAGACACAGGGCAAGAGCCTTTCCACTCCTGCTAAAGTTTTATGCCTCTGGCATCATCAAGTTCTATCTGCAAGCAATAGGAGTGAAGACTCAGCAAGCTTCACACTCCCAATCAGAACTCTTACCAGTGGTGGCAGACAGCTGTTGTTAGATATATGTCACATAGGCACTGATAATGGTACATTTCTTACAGGAGTACTGAAGCCATTCAAATGGAATACCCACTTACCTGAAGAGTGACTGGCTGTAGGTAATTTCCTATCCATGTTTAAGAGAAATGTGGAGGTAAAATCAAATCTGAATCATGTCTGTTCAGAAATATGCCTCAATGGACCTACTCCTGCATAATTGCATATAGAATTTCAGTCTAAGTAGCTCAAAACATTGCAGAGCGAGCTTTACAACATTAATAATATTGCTCCTAGTACTTCAGTTTCTCAACTTTGATTATAATTCATGTCTCAACAGAGCCTGTCTACCACTTCCTGGACTAATCCAACATCACATTACTACTCTCTTCTTAAAGCAACAGAGTATTTTCCTCTTCCCCTCCCATCTGCAGCCTCCAAACAACCCCCAAATACTTTCCCAGCCTTCCACAACAGGATTTTGGGGTGCACAAGAAGCTGCACAAAGAGGGGTGTTCTTTGCCTGGTACCACTGGCAGTCCATCAAGTGGAGCCACCTTAGTAAATATTGACCTCAGTATATCACTTCACTGAATTGTGGGATCCTGGGGAACTGGAATCAAGCATTACCCTTTTTCTGTCAGGAAGACTTTCTCTGCTGAACGTCTTTGACTTTGAGTAAACCCGTTCATTAGAATAAGAAGACCCTTCCTCTATTTTTACATATTTTCCTTAGAAGGCAGCTCACTGCACCAGTTAAACACTCTGTATACAAATCCAAACAAAATTAGCTCTCAGTCATTTATTAAACAGCAGAAGAAGAAACTGCAACAGGCTTGTGAAAAAACTGGACCAGACAGTGGTGCCTATAACAGGAGGGAGATGCTTTGGGTGGCCACTGTTCAGTCAAACATCCGGTGCTTATAGGAAACAAGCCATTTGGGCCAGAAGGTTTTTGTTCTATGCAAGGAGAGGAGCCTACGCATGTCTAAGGACCAACAGGTTTTTTTCTCGGGACCAAAGAAAGAAAAAAAGTGGGGGCATGACAATAATTATTGGTAGCTTTTCTGACATAATTGCTGGGATCCAATGAAGGCAAACATAGCTTTTAGTTTTGAAGAATGAGTTCAGACATTATGTCCTGCAACCTGTAATATATTCTGTACATTCTGGTAATGTATTCAGTACCGCTGTGCATTTGAACTAATGTTAGTTCATCCGCTGGCATTTGGAGTTAGATTAATGCAGGCTTAGCTGATATTGCCATGTAATGCAGAACAAATCAAGGTGGCAGAAGCAGTTGCAGGTAGCTAAGCCCACCCAACTTGTACATTTTTATGTCAGACTGCTTAATGTATGAGAAAGGTAAGCTGTCGTATTATTAATCTCCTGCCAAAATAACTTGCAGTTTCTCTTCTTTCTCTGGAACAGTTTTAGGGAATTCTCCCTGTAGTTTTCAGACATCAGGTAGAATATTTCAAAGACTTGAAACAGCTACATATTCATGTAGAAGTACTGTAGCTCCATTGATACAAGCATTTCTTGAAGGGTGCTTGGAGTTGAGTCTTTATGGTGCAGACCTATTGTGTCCTAATCTTCTTCACTGCCTTGATGCAAACAACATAGGTTGAGTTTTTAAAGTAGCACAAGAAAAGCATTGGGAATCGGCAACCCAGTTTAAGAAATATGTAGACAAGTCAGAGAGAGAGAGAGAGAGAAGGCCACAGTAGGGTGAGGAACTTCACACTGGTGCTCAACTGACAAAATGACATTAGAGATTGGTTTTAGTCAGCAAGAAATAGCAGGTGTGCTAGCAGACCTGACACCCACAGTTTGCACCAATTTCCATGTTTTTTTTTCTCCCTGCTCAGTGATAATAAATGTGAAGGAATGTAGCTTTCTGGAAACCCTTAAATGCTGGAAATATTTCAAGAATGCCTCTGCTACAGACGATTGGCAGGTGCTTAGCTTAGCTTGATAGGAGGCTGATTTGAAAATAAAACAAAATAATGTTGACAGACATGCTTTATCAAGAACTATGTTTGCCTGATCAAGATCTTGTTGCCAAAAAAAAATGGGGGCTGTCTGTCACACACTCTGTTGCAGGCCCCATCATGATATCAGTTGTAAGCAGACAATGACATGGCATGTGACCGATGGTCCAAAAAATAACTCATGTTGCTTATGAGATTGTTCTTAAATATTGCATAAGTCAGCAGGATTCTGCCCATAGAGCTTAAATCTGATAACCTATTTTAATTTTTAGAAGTGGACATGATCAGAGGATCCAGGAGTAAATCTAGGGTGCCAACCTCAGGGTTGTATCCCCATGCATCTATTTGGTGTTGTTTTTTTTCTGAAACCAAAAGTGATTGGAAGTTCCTTCCTCTTTTGTGAATGGGGACTGGAAGAAGAATTCACTCCAACTCCACTCTAAAGCAACATTCTGTGCCTTGTTTTAAATTATTGTTAGTTCTGGAGTCTTCCAGGGACAGATTCTCTATTTTAGAACAAATTTATTCTCAGCTGGATTGCCAAAATGGTTACAAGATGGCACATGAAGCCTATAGGCCACATTTCTTTTGCTTATATTACTCAGGCTTTGTTTACCTAAAGCAAAGAAGGAGAATTTCTCCTTACTGTGGAGTGAGGAGCATGAAAGAAGCACTGCCTATTCAACATGTATGATATTCAGGTAGCTCTGAAATTCAGCACACCTTAAGTCAGAAATTACAACACTTGCATCAACAGTTTCCTGTCACATAGTATCTTGCAACTTTTTGCATCCAAGTTGTGTGTGTGCATGGCTCCAAACAGTTATTTTTCTGCATTTCCCCAGTTTTCTTTCAACTTCACTGACACCATCTGTCAACTTCTGTTCACTCTTCCATTTTGGAAAGCAAAATCATAGAGACTTGTAAATTGTTTGGCAGAATATATTGCAGTATCTCTCTAGGAATAAATATTAGTATTTTTCCTTTAAATTGTGTTTTATAAGGTGTTAACAAAATTTCATTATTCATATAGATTACGTTACTATAATGATCTGTACAAAAGTTCGGTCATATGATCATCTTTTCATTTCATGCTCTCCATTGGCCTGATCTTCACCAAGTTTCCCATAGCATTGCTAGGAATCTTGCTTTGAATTATTGCAGTGTCTGCTTAGATATCTAATCTGAATATGTAATCAAGATGCTTGTGGTTTCCTATTTATCCAAGTTGGATTACATGTGTATACATATACACACACACATCTGTTTTCTACTGATACTTGAACAGTGTCAGGAATATATGAAGACAAACATGAATATCTTTGATCTGGACAAGAACTGCTCTTGGCTAATATTTAGTTATGACCTTGACCTGCATCTGAGACGCTGTCAAGAAAAAGCAGCAGCAAGTGGAGAAATGCTGCTCATTATATTTGACTATTTTGGTCACATGTGTGTATTTTCCTATGCTCTGGGTACGACAAGTCCTCATCAAGCTCCTGCTGACTTGAAGCTAACTTTGTTTTCCAGATCATGATGCAAGGTGGGTCAACGAACAATGGTAAAGATAAAAATTAGTAATTCCTTCAAGACAGAGAGCACAGCCTCATGAGGCTAAGCAAGCTGTTATTTTTATAGAAATGCATTGTGGTTGCCTACTGGTTTAGACAAATAATTCATATTTGTATTGAATATAAGTTTTCTTTGAGTGAATGAAAAATATGAAATAGAATTGTGTGACATTCAGAGTTCTTTTGCAAAGGAGACATAACTAGCCTTTTAATATATCGCTATTATCTTAGCCTGTTGAGTTTTTTTTAAAAAAATTCTGCCTACTCTTAATATGCAACTTCCCCCCCCCTGTTTGCTGCATTTTCTTTTTTACAGTGCCACCTTGGGCCTTAATAGCCATAGCCATCGTTGCAATTCTGCTAGTCCTTACCTGCTGCTTCTGTCTGTGTAAGAAATGCTTGTTCAAAAAGAAAAACAAGAAGAAGGGCAAAGAAAAGGGAGGGAAAAATGCGATTAACATGAAAGATGTGAAAGATTTAGGCAAGAACTTGAAAGATCAGGTAAAGTACCTATCTTGTTTTTGACTATTTTGTATTTTAAAAAAATGAAAGCTAAAACAGATTGCAGGAGAGCATAAGAAATTTTAAGATCAGCTGTGGCCTGACAGCAGTGTTATATATTGGAAACTGGCTGGTTGATATAACCTCATAGATTACACTGTATAAGCATATGTAAATTTACTCTGGGGAAAGTTCTATTGATTTCAATGGGATGTCCTCTGTAGTAAGTGCATACATGTTCTCATTTATCATTTGAGTTTGGGGTGTACACAATACAGTCCAGAATGTTTTCAGAGTTATATCTTAGCTATACCCTGCTCCGCAGCTGGCTTAGCATCTGGAGCAGAATATTAATGAATGTGTAGGAATTAGTTCTTAACTAAAGAAGATTATTCCTCTGCAGCCCAGTCCGATGCATATTTGCTCAGAAGTGAGAGCCATTGATTTAAGTGGGGCTTACGGCCTAGCGAACATGCATTTGGATTACACTGCGAATCTCTGTTTGGTACTCATTACAGCCTCTTCAGGACTGTTTGCAGTAAAGATGTCAGTGAGTTGTATCTCTTTTTAACAGTCATGGATATGATCAGAATAACTTGCTGTGGAAGGCTGCATGGCCTAGTCATCCCTGACAAGTGATTCTCAAAAGATTCTCATTGTCAAAGAAGCATATTCTGAAAGTTGCCGTTCCTGGTTCAGAAAAAATAATTACAATAGGGTTTAGTTCTGTTTTGGTTGAGTTTGTGGTTTGTGTTTTTTTTTTTTTTTTACAGATCTGCATGTACTCCAACCATGACAGTTTTACAAGATGCATGTTAAGCTCTTATATATGTATCTGCCAAAAATACTAATAGAGGAAGCAACTCCCAAATTGCAGATCTATTTCAGGAGCAATGCTGAAGTTGTGGAATCTGAATCTTCCCTGCTTTGTATATCCTGGGATATTTCCTTACCACTGATTTAACTTTAGCATACCAATAGACATGGGCCAGAATCCTATTAGTTATTTACCTCAGCACAAGTGTAATGATGTAAATTGCTCAAATCTCCAGTGGTCTTCACAAATCACTGACACATGATGAAGAATGCAAGCTGTAACTCAATTCATGGCTGTGATTTGTACCACTGCACTTTACATTGATGTAAATAACCAATAGGATTCTGGCTAACCAATTAAAGAGTACCACTTTCTGAGCAGGAGACTTAGGCCGTGATCCAAATACATCCATCAAATTGATGATGAATTTTACAGAAGTGTGGATAATATTCAGCAATTGATTTAATGGGTGTATTGCAGTTTGTTCTCGCACTTGGATTTAGGCATTAATCTATTTTTTTTAATCTATTGCAAATGGTATACCTTGCACTGCCTCAAATCTGTTCTAATTTGTGAACATTTCTCTCTTTATATTGAATTTGAATATATACATTATCTGATACATGAAAAAAATTATAGGAACATCAACATTCATTTAATACTGCATTTTCTAAAAATGATTAAAACAGCTGCCCACAATTAACCTTCTCAGGTCACTGATAAAATCTGCCAAGGTAGTCCCTCAAGTAGCTCATTTATGATCTTCCTTATTACAGAAGGCATGCTATTCACAGTGAATGCACTGCAGGGAAGGTTTGCTCAAAAACGGTAGTAGTCACCTCCAAAATATCTGTAGTTTTCTGTGTCCCTTTATATTTTGGCTATAATCAAGAAAACTAAAGCAATGAAAGCTCTTATTTTTCAATTGGCAAACAGAAGTGGACGGGGTCTGCTAAATCGCTCTCTACAAATAGAAATGCTCATACAAAGTTGACCAGAACGTACTGTGCAGGCAAGTTATGGCACTGGGGAGGCAAAATAACTAAGGAACAGAAAATAAAGAGAGGAGAATTAGCCAGCATGATGTATTGAGAGCAGAACAGTGTGGGAGAAAAAGAAAGATTAAAGGTGACAACACAGTTTTAGCTGAGGGCTCACTTTGAACAGTTTCACAATGCTGTTGTACTGACCTGTTTTCAGTAGGGCTTAAATTCCTGGGTTCAGACAGTATCTACAGGAATAGTGATGCATTTCCCTAGTAAGGGGAAGCTTAAGGCTGTTTTTTTTCTGTTGCAGTATATCCAGGAGTCACAGGGACCAGTTCACAGTATTCTGCAGGTTCCTTTTTATTCCTGCAGAGAATAAAACTACATTGGCAGATATGTGAGCAGTTTATTATTTTATTGGTTAGCTCAGTGGTAGGACTGAGGAGTAAAATCACTTGGATGTCTGAGGAAGGAAATTATGTATCTCAGGATCAGCCTAAGACATTTTACTGCCTGAGACAAAACAGCAGGTCCCCATCCTTCAGCATAAGTTTACAATCTAATCAGGTTATTTTGGCAGCTGTGGAAGAAAATTGCACAGGCAATACTCTCTGGCAGTAAAAATAATAATAAATTAAATCATTTGTTTCTCTCTTGTGACACTGAAGATTAGGTGCCCAAGGCAGCTGTGTCTGTCTCTTCTTAGAGGCAGAACCAGCCTGATTCATCTTGTTTCAGATATTAGGGATAGTATAGTCAGTAACAGAGCACATCGATGGCAAGGGGAAAAAGTCCCCAGGGTCGGTCACATGCAGCTTGAAGTAGGGCTGGGAATAACCTCCACGCAAAATTCTGGAGAGCCACTTCTGTTCAGTGTTTTGCAGTTTTAGGACTACTCCAGAGGCCTCCAAAGAGAAAAGATCATTTTTTAAAAAACGTCAAAAGTAGCCTATATAACCCCCCCAAAGGCCCTAGGTGGAACAGTTTTCTGGTCATGGGCCTTGTGGGCATGGGTTTCTCCAAGGCTCTGCCATGACTCCCATGGATAAACAGAAGTCCCAGTCTGGGGTTTTCCTGGTTTATTTTTTTAAAATGTTATTTTTAAGGCTATTTCTGGGCCTGTTGGGATCTCAGGGCTTGAATTTGATTCCTAGGCCCTCAAACCTCATTCCCCCTTGATATGGATAATAAAAAGCAGGATGGCTTAAAGATGCAGCTCTCTGTCAGGTAGCATTGCATGTGTTTTATATTTTAAAATACTATAAGTTCTACAAAGAAACAAGTTTGCCTTGATTAGTAAAATCTTACTAAAGTAATAGTAAAACTAAATCTTAGGCATGTGTTTTTTATATGTATCAATAACAATCATTCTGATTCCTGCCCCCCTCAGTCTAAACTGGAATCTGCCTATGTCTCTACAATGTGCTAATTATGTATTAAGTGTGCTGTGCCAGTTTAGCCAATGTAGGAACGCAACCCTGGCATGTTCCGGAAGATAAAGGATGGCTACTGCTTCGTGTTTCGCTTTCCCCTCTTTCAGTATTGCCTAACATAATGCACTATTTAGCTGAATTGTATGTTTTCCTGACCTCGGTTATATCAGTCAGTAAAGCAAAGCAGAATTTACAAATCTCACACACTGTATTAAATGAAATATTACCTGGAAGAGGGAAGACAGGTACATGAGATGCTGGCAGTTCCAGATCTTTTGTGACATGTAATTCCTCCATGCTGGCCTAACAGTTTTGTTGCCATGTTTGCATTTCAAAGGATAACTACAAAACTGTCTGAACAGCATTGAATGCATTAGACAAACAATAAGAATCCTTTTTAAAAGAATGATTTAGCAGATACAGTATCTCAGTTCCACCAGCAAAAGGTTTGTCTTCTATAGACCTACTAATTGTGAGTTTTTCCTTCTTAATTACTGAGTTGATTATGGTAACTGAAATTAATTTTTTTTCCAGTACAAATAAAAATAATTTGGAACCTGCTTTTCTGTGAGACATACACAAAAGTCACTTTGTCACTCATGATACTAATGATAACAATCTATCATTTCTTTATAGGACAAATTTTGTGTAGTGTATTTTGTGGATATATTTTGTGAAGTTTGTTCTGTATTATGATGCAATATTTTTCTTGTAATTCTATTAGATATTATGTGTTCTTCATTATATTTGTTCTGACCTGGATAAATGACCCAAAATTCGTATTAGCATTGTAAATATTTTGAAATACAACAGCACGCTTTAGTATTCGTGCAGAATTGAATAGAAGCCTCTTTTCCAATCAATTTACAAGTCTCAAGATTGTTGCTAATTCCTTATTCCTTGCAAGAGATAAGAAAACCTGAGAGGACACAGAAAAATGCTTTCAATTATTTTACACAATAGAGACCATCCCTAATTTGAAGAACCCTTTAAAAACAGTCCATGTAGATAAGCTGTACCATTTGGAATGCAGAATTTACATGGATTTTATAGTATTTGGACTTATCTGACATGTCTGTACCTTTTTTAAAATATATTCACAGAACTGTTTATTTGTTTAAAATATTTTATCCTGCCTTTCTCCTTAAAAGAACCTTCAGTCACAAAAAGGGCATAATTCACTAGTCAGTTCTTACATATAAAACTTCCATAAATTACAGTGAGATGTGTCCACACATATCTGGTTAAATAATAGCAAGTATTCAGATCAGTCGATTTCAGACAGCACTCTTAGTTAGTTAGCATCTGGCTCATGCATTCCTTCATCTCCTTAGTTTTCAGATACGAGTGGAGGCTTCCACTGATGCTTTAGGACAAATCACAGTTCCATATTACATAGAAAATCAAGGGAAAGTAAGTTAACAAACCAGGACATAAAACCATGTTTGAGTAATTTATTAGACCAACTTTCATGAGAATAAATGAAACCATACTTCCCTTGTTCATATATAACAGAGTTATGGTTTGTTCTAAAGAACTGTTAACCTCCTACTCCTGTGAAAGAAACAGGGGAATTGCACAAGCTTGAGGTTCATAAGAACCCACCCTGACCATCTGTATCATGATTTTGTTGGTTTTCTAACCTAACCTTTTTAGTGTTGTGCCTGAAGAGACATAAATTGATGGCCCCATTATTTAGAAGTGTGTGTCCCAAAATCACATTACTGCCAATTGGTAGATGAGCTATATGGACTCTATATTGTCTACCATGTTTTTTGATAAAGGTAATGGTGTGCCTTTGATTAAATCCCAGAAGGTTTTAACCATTCAAAGTTAGAGGTATTAGATCCTAAATAGAAGGTGTGTTATGTAACAGGTGCTCAGGAAAGCTTGTTTCCCTGTAGTCAGATGGAAAAGCAGGCAACCCTGCAGCTATAATGGATGAATAGAAAATAATTTAGCCCAATTCATGCATTATGACTGAAACCATAAAGGGATAAATGGGTGGTGGGATCATGGTCCCCACTTACCTGGAAATAAACAAAACCTTTCAGAAGAGCCTTAAGCACCTTAGGCTGAACATGCTTTGAATGCTTCCATGACTGGGCTCCCGAATAAGACAAGGATCCCAATCACTGGGATATTGTAAGTCATTTCAGCTGAATGCATGCATGGGCTCTCCTTCAGACCTGCACGCTAATCATTGGGAAGGTCTGAGAGTCCTCTGACTGGAATGGGGATGTGAGGGCAGGGATTTAATTTACAAGCCCCTGCCCATCACCCACTTAGCCTTCCGAACAATTCCAGTTTAACACCTGAATAAGAGTGATTTCAGCAAATATAACTTGTCATGTATGCTCTGCTGTTCTTGTTATTTTATGTGCTGTAAAATTGTCTCTGCCTTTACAGCACGTATATCAATCCTACGAATTCAACACCTCCAGAAGTTTCTGTTATTAACAGCCCTGCTCAGGTCTTGTAAACTAAAGACTATAGGTTCCTTTATACAGTAGAGTCAGTTCACCTCATGTTTGGCCTTTTTGTTTTCCTACTGCCTGCTATTTTTCCTAGCATTATTGTCATTTCCAGTGATCCTTGTCTCCCAATCATATTTCCAGAGTAGCCTTAGTTCAGTCATTTAGACAAGATGTGGCTCTTTAAATTCTCTCTTCTACACAACAATACCTTCATATAGAATGACACCATAGCATTGGAGTCCTATAAATATTTACTTGCAAGTAAATTCATCTGTGTTCCAGATAAGCATGCATAGGATCACAGCTTACATAGGATGCATAGTATTGCAGCTAAAACTTCATGCACTTAGGCAGGGGTTTTGCTTTCTGATGGGAGAATTGCCCCCTCAAAATTTATGATAGAATCCTACATATACTTACCCAGAAGTAAGCCCAATTGAGTTCCATGGAACTTACTCCCAGATAAGTGCAGATAGGATAGCAGCCTTGATTGTATAAAGGGCTTCAGTAGAAAGGGTACGACATATGTAAATGGTCATTTCTCCATGGTTTTACTAATGTTTGTGTGTGGATGTTTTAATTTTTATTTCTTCCTTCTATGTCCTCCTTGTCTATGTTGTGTCTCATGACTATTCTGGATTGTCACTTGCGGTAGGTTTATTTTGCTCTTTGGACACACCTCGTTGAAAAGCTCTGATACATTTTGTCTCCTGACAGTTGTGGCTCCTGGGATTTATACATAGCTTTGACACACATCAGGAGGCTGAACTAAATTGATTTCTTTCTTTTGCAGGATTAAAGGTTTGGGGTTTACTTCCCTTTCATTTTATCCATAACAAACATATATTAAGCCTGGAGGTATTAGAAAGCTCAAATTTTGATACACATAGAAAATAATGCACTGCTTTGGGGTTTCCTCTTGCTTTCATATCAAAGTCAGCTAAGCAGCTAAAGAAAAAGACAAGGATTCCTATTAGCTTTTTTAAAAAATCACAATCTCCTTCAGATACTGTCTGTTCTCTATCTCATGACCTTTGCACTTTTAGCTGCTCTTGCACCCCCAGCTTGTGCTGAACTAATATTAGAAATTACATTGGTATGACTCAGACAGTACGGTATTTGGTACATTATTTCTGTAGTATCTTCCTATCACGACTTTTGCAGCTGTAGTTTATCAGTTCACAGCAATCCTTCTGTCGCTCCTATAATCTTCTGCTGCTATTTTTTTAAAGAAGAGTAACAGGGGCGCATTTAGCTCTAGAGGCATCTAATAGGTTCTGATTTAATGACTCTGAATTTAATGTTTTGCTACAGCAAATTCATTGCTTAAGCTCAGCCTTTGGGAAAAGAGTTGACTTAATCATATCAGGGATGAACACTGGCACTGAAAAATTATCAAAAATGTAGCCTCATTTCATGAAGAATCATTGCAGCCGTGGTCTCTGTCTTTTATTAAGTCACAATTTGTTAGAGGAGAGGGAGATGTAATGTTATATCCATTTACATTATGTCAGGCTAAAATTTTCTGACTTGCTGAACTTCTTGATTAGATCTGGGCATAGGTACTTGCTGCTGTTTACGCTTCACTTTTGGCCCCTCTTACCTGCCAAAAGGGAAGGTGTTTGCTCTCTGCCTGGCTGTTTCATAAATGCCTGTGGTACAAGTGTAATAGCAACACAGTTCTATCATGGTGATGTGAAAGTTGTTCCCTGTTTCTGTTTTTTGGAGCAAGAAAACTTAGACCAGAGATATATAAGGTTATCTCAATGTATCATAATACCTCTTCTTGGGTGCACACCTTACATGGAGAAAGGGCTTGAATGTGTCATTGAAGCTGAGAGCAATGCCGTCAGGAAGCCTGGACCTCTAGCATGGGTCACCCAAAGCAGAGTGGTCACAGCTGAGACATAAGACTTAGATGCATCCACCCTTTTCAAGGCAGTTCCGAATCATGCCAAAAAAAAAACTTTAACCCTAGCACAGTGCCAAAAAGGAGTGGGTTACTTATCCCTGTTGAGTCTTAGCTTTTTGCCAGAATGTCAATCAATCAAAAAAAAATTGTTATTTAATTAATAAATAATAAAGTCAGGAAAGGGGATGATATCCTATAGGATGAGATTCCAGTGTTAGGGCACCATCACACAGAAACCTCTGCCTTATGCATGATGCATCTGCTATGATATACTGTAGGGCCTATACATATTTGTGTGTGTATGTGTCTTTTTGTTCACATCATCATGGATACTGATAATTTTCAATTTCTTACATTCAACACCATGTGTTGACCTATACTAGCAGTTCTTTAATCTCATCACATCTAATCATAACATGTTATTCAGTACTTGTAATCCATGATGTAGCTCTGGAAGCATTTTCCTGTAACGGATGTAACATTTAAAAAGTTTTATTTGAAACTATGAATAAATGAATAATCCGTTCTACTTCATAAGCTACAGACACAATCATGGAAGCCAGCAATCTGACTTGTGAAGTAATAAACAATTTGGTGAGATCACATTTTTAAAGCTGACAATATTAAATAATCAATTTTTTTTCCTGTATGTAATTTATTAAGAAAGTGGGGCCTGCATAATATAAGCCTCTTAATCCTATTATCTAGGAAACCATCCTGAGCTGCAGTCTCATTTATTTTTTATAGGAATAGGATAATATATACACCTTTGCCTGAGTTGCTATCAGTGCCAATTGACAAATGCATACATTTTGGAAGTTTGAAATTGATCATCTAAAAAGGATATACATTTGTCCAGGGAGCCAGTTTTGAAATTAAATTTAGAAAGAAATGAATCACCTTGCCCCTTTATTAGCCTGCACTGAAATTTATTTTTATATTGAGCAAACAAGTGGTATCTTCTATATTATTGTAATATCACACAATTTAGGAACCAATTTCTATTCCCAGTCCCCCTTTTTTTAAAAAAAAATCCTTGAATGAAAAGGTATGTAATGGAACATATTTAAACTTTATTCCAAATAAAAAGTTTCCCTTGAAACTATAGTCCCATTGCTTTTGTTCAAAGCAGCATGACAGCCAAGTCTTTTATGGGTTTACCAGAAACACAAGTCCAGTGGTATTTATATTCGCGAAGGCTTTCACAGCTGGGATTTAATGGTTGTTCTGGGTTTTTTGGGCTCTTTGGCCGTGTTCTGAAGGTTGTTCTTCCTGACGTTTCGCCAGTCTCTGTGGCCGGCATCTTCAGAGGACCAATGGTATTTACTCCTATGCAAGTATGTTTGGGGTTATACTCTTAATTGAGTCTGAGCCATGGCCCGTGATTTTACTTGTGAGGAAGTCACTTGAGAGTAGAAATGCTAGACATGCTCTGTCAATGATTAAAATAGGAAATCGTATCCAATACAAATTTGAGCTTTCTAATGCTGTGCAAATTAATGTTTCTAGGATGTTGTTTATTCTTTCCTTTAAAAAAAAAAAAGCTCCATTGGTAACAGCTGTCTGAGCCTTTTGAAAATGACTGCTGTTTTATCTAAGAGTCAAATTTGCAAGCATTATTCATCTAGAATGGCACTAAAAAAATCTTATGTGTCTTTAAATCAATTTGGTTCAGCCTGGCTTTAAACTGAGAAGAACTGAAAAGAAAAAGAGAATGAGAAGGGTGTTGTTTTCTGCAAACGTGCATTTGCTAATAACATACCAATATATTTGCTTCCATATTCATCAGAAGTGAAAACAAAACATTAAAAATGTTTGGCATCTCATTTTCTGAAGAAGTCGCATACAACAACTGGATTTAAAATAGCAGTAATCCTGCAGAAACACTTTGCTTTGGTGCAAATATAATTCACAGCATGCACAACTATTTTAAATTGAATGACTGCAGTCTTGCCTATTTAATAGCATGTTTTTCCACACTTGTCCCTGGACAAGATAATTTGATTCAATCGGATTTTTAAAATAAGTATGAAGTTGACATTCTCTGTGTGTTTCAGGCTTTGAAACAATTGTTGCTTGCAATACCCCAAGAGGTGCCTTTTCCTTCTTTCATTGCTTCCTTGCTGCTTGCTGATTATGATATTTCTCTTGTGCAACCCAAATATTTTAAATATATATGTCAACAACATATATGAATTTGTGCCATCATGCTTGCTTTTACTGGCTTCACTATAGGATTGAGCACGAGTACCTGCTTTTTCAGGCCTTTGTTTGAAAGGCAGTTATAGTCATTATTCTTGTTTTTGCCCCGATTCTTTGCAGGCACTTAAGGATGATGATGCTGAAACTGGATTGACTGATGGAGAAGAGAAGGAAGAAGTTAAAGAAGAAGAGAAATTAGGAAAAATCCAGTATTCTTTGGATTATGACTTTCAAAATAATCAGGTGTGAAACAAGTATGATCAGAGAAGATTCTTTGAGTGACAGTATTATTTGTATACATGTATTTATATGCATATTTGCAAGCAAATGCACAGACACACACATTCAGTTTGATCTTTTGAAACTAGTTCTGTCAGTGACTATGGCTAATTAAAAACTTGCATTTTTAAATAAAAACTGCAGAAATGTTACAGAAAGTTCATTAGGCTTTAAAAACTTACCTTCTAATTTGAAGAGTTCTGAAAAACATCACACCCCACTATGAAAGTTACATTATTTCATGTGGAATTGTAAGAAGGAGCCAAAATTATAAGAGAGGATCTAAACCTATAAATTCTATAAAGTTTGCAAGCCCTGGAAAGACACTCATTACGTAACAATAAACTCTAGATTGCTTTGTGAGTAATGTCTTTTGGAAGGAAGTGGGACAAGAAATTGTGCTTGTTAATATGTTATGTGTAGCATAGACAAAATTGAGAGCTCAAAAACAATAGTGTATGTATGTAAGAGAGAGAAAAAGGGAATGTCAAGCAGCATTTCAGTTTTTTCTGAGCCACAGACTGCATATGACATATCAGTACCAGAGTCAAGAGCCTGTGTTGATGAGCCCTGCTTATGTTATGGTAACAATTAGTCACAAATGTTTAGATATGCTGGTGACTCCTAAATCATTGCCATTTAGGGTCCAGGCATCATTTCCCATGAGCTGCAAATATTTAATATCAGAAGGGTAGTCATGCTAGTCCAGTGATATTGTACCATGGATGTGTATGTGGTCAAACACAGGATAAGACTAGGGATGAGGTTTGTGAAATAGTACTAAAAACTAGACCAGGTTCCCATTATTATGCAGTGGTCTAAACAAAAATTCAGAGTGTCAAACAAACCGTCAAGAAAGAGTGTGATCTACTCTTCACTAATAATTGTAAATGGTTACTATATATGCAGTGGTCTAAACAAAAATTCAGAGTGCCAAACAGACCGTCAAGAAAGAGTGTTATCTACTCTTTACTAATAATTGTAAATGGTTAATATATTATTTTTCCGTTTATAACACACCTCCATTTATAAGACACACACCCCATTTTCTAACCCCAAAATTAAGAAAACTTAGCTTTGAGAATTCCGCCTCTGAGCTCAGAATGTCGGACCTTTTGTTGAATCTTGAGCCTACAGGCTCCACCTCCAAGGAGGTGTGTTCCAATTGGTTTGTTCAGGATCAGCTGACACCAGTTCCATAAGGCTCCTGGCTGAAGGAACCTGTTTATAGAGGCAAGGCATGTGCTGTCTTTTTTTCCCAAGGCTCCTGGTTGGAGGAAGCTAAGCCTCCTGGCTGACGGAACCTGTTTATAGAGGCAAGGTATGTGCTTTTTTTCCCCCTCTCCTCAGCTATCTCAGCTTACTTCTGTGTAAAAGACAACCTTCAATTTTTAGGGTAATGATTTTAGGAAAAAGTAGCATCTTATAGACATAAAATTACAGTAGTGTGCCGTATACTTTAAGTTTGCAATCCTGTACTCAGTTTCCCAAGAGTATGTCTTATGAACTCAGCGGCCCTTACTATACAGACGTGCATAGGATTTCAGTGTAAAAAAAACATTATGTGGAGAGGTGGCCACTTTTTGGTTTCTCTTTAGCTGCATTCTGATTTGTCACGACTGCATCTGATTTCTAACACAGCTGACTCATGCTGCTGTTAGCCTTTGTAGCTTTTGACTTAAGATGACTAATTTAAAACCAGTGGTGACTGAATAAACATCAGAGAGGTACCCAATCAGATCTTGTACTGTCTTAAGAACTCCCTAAGAGATGCTACCTACATATTCTCAGACTTTCATCTTAAACAATAAGATTGTACTCCATATTGTACAAATCTTTTGAACTCCTACTTCTGTCCTACTTTGAAAGAACATATAAAAGAATGCTCAAGCCGAAGGTCAAAAGGTGCCCCCCTCCAGTTCCAAAAGCAAAGACATGTTTGAAAGTATTCTGGTTTTTAGGCATAGTGGACCTCTTTATACCATGAGGATATCTTGAAATCAGAGGGGAGCATTTAAATCTTCAAAAGCAGAGAATATTAAGGGGCGGAGGAGAAAAAAGGAGTAAATCTTTTGTGGGAAATAGACTCAGCCTTCCTCAGAAGATGAACAAAAATGGCCATGGATTTTATTGGGGGGGGGGAGTGCTGTGCTGCCTTAGCAACTTTATTTTCTTAAATGCTTTCTTTTGCTGTTAAATCTTTGGTCATCTATGTTTAATTAATTAAAGTGCTACATAGCATTTATTTTTTATTCATATCTTTCTACCATAGCTCAGATGTTCTATCTCCCTACTGAGTTTTTAAAATTCCCTTCGGGTGGATAAGGCAGCACAACTGCATTCCTGTTTTGTTAGCTAAAAGTCACAGACAGGGAAAAACAGGGCCAGGGCTGAGGCTGGTGTGGGTAGAAACACATGGGGTGACCCAAGATGGTTTGCTCCATGAAACGAACAGCAAATCATGGTCTCCACTCTGCCTCAGGTCGGGGAATGTACTACCTAAATGCTGTTAAGTTGTTTTTGGCATATGAGACAGGTAATCCAGAAAGCACCTTTAAGCATCCCAGTTATTAAAAATAATAATGTAACAAATTAAGCAGTGAACATTGGCTTGCCCTTTCATACCACCCAAACCAAAAGAAATGGCAAATTGCCACTTAGTTGGTTTTGGAAGTTGTTCATCAGAGATCCTGGTAGGCACTCTTAATTTGTTGTCCTTAAGCATCTCCAAACACATTAGCTCCTTTGGAGAACATTTTTCACACCTTGAGACTTTGTTGATCCTTCAGATTGGGTTTCATGATGCACAAAATATTCTGTTTAAGGAAACCCCTCTCTGTTTCCTGAATCAGGCCTAGGCGTGATAGCCCTGACAGCATAGTGGCCCTGCTATTCATCGAACATGAAACTGTCACCTGATGAATGTGTCCTATCAGTGCAGAGAAAATCGCAGCCAATCACAATTAGCTATACCAAAATTTTCAACCAATCTACTTCATTTTGATGGAAGAATTTCATCTGAAACTAATTTCAAAGGAGAATAAATTATTGTGAATGAAAAAACTGGCTGGGTTACACAGCCAGCAAGATTCATGGCCCAGTGGAACTGAACACAGCCATGGAGAGTGGTGAAACTGCAGTTCTGTCAGGGGGGAACAAGCTCATTGGTACCTGAGTACGAAAGATTATCACAGTAGAAAACAGGATATCGTGATTGACCCTACATTCAGCCTCCTGCCACTATACCTATGTTCTGCTTACTTCTGCTTACTTCTTCCCTTTTACATTACTAATGTTCTGCTAGCATAATTGTCCTGCTAGTTATAATGTAGCACTAGGTTCAAGATGCTGTTGCAGTAATATCAGTGGTATCTCAGAGACAAAGTACAGTACATGATTCACATGCAAAAGTTTCTAAATGGAATCTCTAGCATCCCCATGTAGGTCTGGGAATGATTCTGGTTTAGATATTTAATTGTACAGTACGACCATGTTATCTGTGGGGGATTGATTCTAAAAGTATGTATATAGAGATGCTATATATAGCATAGCCTCTGGTTCCCTCTAGTGGCCAGGTCTGGTAATACACATTGGAAACATGCATTTCGGAGGGGGCTAGCATAGCCTCTGGTTCCCTCTAGTGGCCGGGTCTGGTTGGAAACATGCATTTCGGAGGGGGGTATTTAATATTTTCCAGCAGCAGATAAGTAAAACTATGGATACTGATCCTGTGGATACAGTGGTCCTACTATATATAAATATAGTGTTGTTGTAAAGAGATCCTTAACTGTAGGAAGTGTCTCATTGTCATAGCATAAGGCTCCTCATCTCCTTTATTTTGCTTTGTTATGTGATTGGGCTTTGGAAGCCAAACACACTTTTCTTACGTAGTGGATCTGATTTCTGGGACACAAAGGTCTGTCTGGATAAAGTGTCCAAAACCCTAAGATAATGATGAGTTCTATAAAAATATATATTTTATAAAGTTAATGATCAGCTCTAATGATGAGTTGTTAAAGTTTGGTCTTGAAACCCTCAAAATAGTTGCTGGTAACTGTAAGGCCAACCTTCCACTATTGTCCATTATGTGTTAGATGCAGCTTTCATCAGCCCCAGCCAGCATGCCTGAGGATGATCGAATTAGGGTACTCCCATGGAAGTACATCATAGGGGTTCCACAATACTGAGCTGCTGGATCGATTCCTGATGGCAGTTTCTTACATTTGTTCCCAGTCTACAAGGATCAACTTGTTGTTGCACTTGGGTTTCCTATGTGAAAAATGTCGGTTAAGACCACTCTAGGCGGCTTACATTTGTTCCCAATCTACAAGGATCAACTCATTGTTGCACTCGGGTTTCCTATGTGAAAAATAAAAGTGACTGAATGTCAGGAATGAATGCCTTTCCCAGTACTTAGCCAGCTGAGAGATTTTTGCCCATTCAGCCCATTTTGGTAGGAATGAAAGTGAGCCTTTCCTACACTTGATTAAACTGACCAATCAGAAGCAGTCTTACTCTTTCTCTGGGCTGGCCAGCTTCTGCCAGTCCTGACTTCCCTTAGAATTATTCTAAGTGGTTAAGAGAGGCGCTCTTGTAAAAAGCTAAAAATGCTTAGTGGACACAAATGCCACATTATTCATTCATTTAAATTAAGCCTAGAAAGCCCCATAATGAAAACGGCTCCCAGGATAACACTTGCTTAACCACAAAATTAATTTTCATTTCAGGTTGTCAAAGCAGTAGGTCTGCTTTTCAAACCAAACTGAACCGAACAGAAACAAATAGCTGTCTAGACAAATACACAGCTGAGAAATCTACTTTCACTTGTTTCTTCTGTTGCAAATCTGCTTTGTTCATGTACTCACTGTATGGAGGCACTGTCCTGTATTCTAACCACAGGAACATAGCTGGGAGAAGTTTGGTCATACTCCTAATTGAAAGAAAGGTCAATAAAACAAATATTGTATGAAAAACCCATGACAATCAATTACTCCATAATCACCTTTTATTATTTCTAGTGACATCAATCATCATTACTTATGCCATTACAAAACTATTGTGTATGAAATCCTATTACATTTTATGCTGGGATGACACTGTATGAGTAAATCTCAGACACAAACTTCCATTAGTTAAGAAGAAGCAAATGTACACATTTGCTGTTCTATACCAAGTCTCATGACTTGACAAACAGCAGGAAATGCCTACATTGACATCTCCTCTCAGTTTGCCACTGCTTATAGGCTGACTTAGTGATGCTAGCAAGTATAGCTAGCAGAATTTCGGCCATTGCTATACTGAGTTGTTCATGTTGTTCAAATTATGTACATGTCTGTGTTTCGTATTCAGCACATGCAAGCCTGATTGATCTGAAGTATCTGGACAATACTAGAAAACTTCAACTTGGGCCTTCTTTCTAGCTCCATTCCTAAGGTTTTTTTTAAAAGAGCACATCTCGAAATGGGAGATGAAACGCATCCAAATTCAGTGAAGTTATTCTTCATGTTGATACTCTTGGCCAACAACCATGGCTGTTTACGGATCCCTGTTGAGCATACCTGTGGCTAAATCAACAGAAACGAGTAATAGTTTCACTGAAAAGTGGTAGAAAAGTTGTATTTGTTACTGTGCAATATGTGAAAGTTGCAATTTTTTTACCTTTCTGTAATTGTGAAGCAGAATTGGATAGTGGAGAAGTGAGAGGAAAATGTGATTCCAACTGCTCTTCTTAGCTTTAAATGCTAGTGGGAGAAAATTCTGGAGAGGAATTTTCTGAGAGAATATTAATTCATGGTCTCTCTTGATACAGCTATCTAGCTCTCTTTTGCACAGAAAACTATTATTATGAATGACAAGACATGTCTAAGATATACTTAGTAAAACTGCTGAAGTGACTGCTTGAGTGCATAATTTTAGTACTCATTTAGTTAGAATTATATAACCATATGCAAATACCTTCCAAAAAAGAATATTGTAGATTTAAGGAGCATTATAGTGACAACATAAAAGAAAATATAAAAATCCATATATAGCTGTAAACAACAGCTTAAAGTCCATCCTGTCTGTTTAAAAAGGACTGAAATCTTTATCTGCTATAATTAGGGCTGGTGTTTTTTCTGGAACCTTGCATCATTTTCAATCCACTTTTTCAGATGTCTCCAGCTTTTAATAAAATGGACTCAAATAATATGTGTGTGTGTGTGTGTGTGTATAACTACGTTTTTATTTACATATGTTTTTATATGAACTGCTAAATGGCTCAGTGAGTTAGGCATCTGGCTGCAGAGCAAGATTGGGAGTTTGATTCCTCACTGGACCTCCTTAATGGGCTGGACTCAATGATCCTTAAGATCCCTTCCAGCTTTGCAGTTGTAAGATTATTTGAAGATTATGATATATGCATAGAAATATTGAGAAATAACAGTGTTTGCAAACTCTTTAAATGACTGGTGATTCTTCCTGTCTTTTCTATCCCTTTTTCTTTCCTTCCTTCATTAGCTTCTGGTAGGGATTATTCAAGCTGCCGAACTGCCTGCTTTGGATATGGGTGGTACGTCTGATCCCTACGTGAAGGTTTTTCTGCTTCCTGATAAGAAGAAGAAATATGAAACAAAAGTTCACAGGAAGACTCTTAATCCTGTCTTCAATGAGCAGTTTACATTCAAGGTATTATATCTGATAATTATGTGGTATCCTTTTTGTTAACTATCTACACTAAAGGTTAATATCATGTTCAGATGCACAATTGCATTGTCTTTGTTAATTGGTGACCCATAGCACAATGAATTTTTCAGTTGGAGATATTTCAGAGGGAAAAAATGTGTTAAAGGATAAAGGTTACCAGTAAAATAATTCAACAAACGCTATTTTTTGCATCCATTATGAATCTCACCTTTACTCTGTTGAAAGCTGTTGCACAAGGCACTGTGGATTTCATGTAAAGTCATTCTTGTTTGCTAAGGAGGTATGGACTATTCTAGTGCAGGGCACACACTCTTTACTGACTTCTTCTCTGGATGTTTATATATATCAGTCTTGAATAAGATGGAATGGCTGTGAGTCTCATTCACTTGTTACAGCTGTTAAGGAGATCTTAGTTGTTTCCAAGAACTTAGTATGCCAAACTTTCTTTTTCTGTCCCACTTAAACAAATGCATGATTAGGCATATAATAAAGCATATATTCTAAGCGTTTCATAAACACAATTTATCTGTAATTATGATAGCCCTATAAAATAAATTTGTACCATGTTTCCCTGAAAATAAGACAAGGTCTTATGTTAATTTTTGCTCCAAAAAAACACCTTTTTTCATGTATGACAATCTACATTTATTCAAATACAGTCATGTCATCTTCTTCTGGTTGCTGCACAATGGAGGAGGGCGGGCTTTCACTTAAGTGGGGCTTATTTTTGAAGTGAGGCTTATTTTACAAGCATCCTGAAAAATCGTACTAGAACTTATTTTCAGGTTAGGTCTTATTTTTGGGGAAACAGGGTATTATTCCCTATAATGCAGAGAAAGGGATGGAGTCTGGAGGTGTCTCTCCAAGGTTACCTAGAGAAGCAAGATTTGAACCAGGGATTTCCTGATTTATGACTCCAGGTCTTGTACATTTACACTAATCCTTGAAGGAGATAATGAGAGCTCTTCTATGCATGTTCAGCTTTGAACTAGATATTTTAGGTGCAGGCCATTTAAATTGCTGGGGAAACAACCAAGTTGCATAAATATTTGAAAGCAAAGCATAATGTTTACAAAAAATATGAATCTACCCATTTAGTTGGAAAGGACCCTCTTTTCTTTTTCTCTCTCTTTTTAGAGCTCTGTACTTTAATAAAAGAAAAAGGGAAGAGCAGAAACAAGGCATCCTGAGTTTTTGGGAGGGTGGGAAAAGATGGGAACTGCAGAAGGAGGCCAGTGCTTCCTTTTCCACAATCCTTTCCTCTGCAACCCTAAAGCAGAGTTTGACCTCCTTTAGATGTTTTTAGACTGCACCTCCTATGACTCTTTATAGTTGGGTTTGCTGGTTACAGATGATGGGAGTTGCAATCATTCCAGCAAGATCAGGTGGGCTACACATTCTCCATCACTGTCCTGAAGTGATTTGTGAGTCATTATGGGGCAAGCAAATCAAAGATATGCATTAGAGTGTCCTGTTATGTTGTTTCAAATTTTAAGACACAGAGTTCACCTCCTCCACATTCAGAGCCCAATTTTCAGCAATATAACAGCAGTATAGCCAAATATGCTTTGGAGTTTTTTTGTCTGAGATGTTCACTGCACTTCAGTCGCTACAGGCCTTTCCCTCTATATATTTAGTCTTATAATGACAGCTCCACTTTGAAAGCAGGGACAATAAGTGATTCCGGCTATATAATCCCTCAACAAGAAAGATATCCCTAGAGGCCCTGCCACTACTGCAGACATAAGCTGTTTTCTCTTGAAGATGTTCGTAAAAATAATCTTTTATTTTCATGTAGGGAGGGGGAAGGAGAAGCTCTTTACTGAGTTTTTCCTTTATTTAGAATGTAGCAGAGCAATACATGTTAACTTTCAGCTGCATTGTACAGAAAAGGAAAGACACAGCTCCAGTGTCTAAAACTGACAGATTATGCTTTAAAAAAAAAAAAAGTACACCTACTCATTGCTGCATAATGACCAAAGTCCTTCACGTTATGGTGCTTTTTATACCAAACTAATTTAAATTAATGGAAAATATGAAGATTGTTGATGGATTGTATCTAGTGAGGAGGCATGCCGATCCATGCAGATGTTGTGATGACCACAAAGAGCCAATTTCTTTTATTTCAACCAAAAAACTGTATAAAACATTATGGGCTATAACAATTTGCAGAGAAACTGAGCATCCCTGTGCTTATGAAGGCTCTGTAGAGCTTTGGATCATACCCACAGATCTTGAAAATTCAGATTTTATGATGCAGAAGCAGCCATTAATATTTGTCAGTTAACATTTCCTGGTTAATGGGTTCTGGGGAAGATGGGTGCACTGTGAAACATATCCAATAGTATTCCTCCACCAACCAGTTTTCACTGTGTTCATAATGTAATGGACATTCAGTGTCCCTCTTTAGTCTTCTGTATAGCTCAGTGGTTTAGATACAGTCAGAGGTTAGATGTTCGATTCGCCACTGTGCCTCTTGAGAGTACAGAGAGCCTGTGTGGCCTTGGGCAACCTGTTCAGTCCCAGGGCATACACACCCCCAAAATAGAAGGGAATAGTGAAGTATTTCTGAGTGGTCTCTGCCTGAAAAACCCTGAAAAGGATCACCATAAATCAGAATTGCCTTTATGGATGATGATGATGATGATGATAATGATGATAATGATGATGATGATGATTCGTGAATGTATTGATCGTCCGATAGTCCTATTTGGCCACATACATCTCTATCTCCTAAGCAGTTTGAGGCAAACAAGAATTCCTTTCCTTCTCATTTTCTTAAAGAGATTCCTTTTAATGCTCCATGAATATCAACTCTCAGAAGAATGTATTTCTTTTAATTAGTGCATTCTGATCTTCCATATTAAAAGTTGAAATATTAAAAGGAATTTCACCCCTGGGTTCAGATCTTGACTGGAATGCCTCAAGAATATGAATCTTTTTCCATCATTAGCAACTGAAAGAATTCAGAATAAAGTGTTCACTCTGGAGAGAACCTCTAAATAGTTATTTCTTGAATGTCCCTTGAGGCTTAAGATCTTTGTGTCTGCACTCTCTGTGATTTCTGGGCTTCTGCCATAGGTTGTCAAATTGAAAACGCAGCCCAAGACTCCTGTTCCTATCAAGTTAATTATACACTTTGTGTGGAACTCATGCAAGAGCTTCATTAGCATCCTGCTGAGTCACTCAAGGTGAGGGCAGATGACTGTGCAGCTAAAAACACACTTTCGCTGCAATCAGATGCTACGGTTCGGTTATCATGATAATTTCATAGCCCTATCAGCTGGCTCTGCTATTGCCAAACCTGGTTAAACGTGTATTACTGTTGCTATTGGAAGTAACAGTTATCTATTTGAATTTGCAGCTATACATAAAAATCAGCATATGAACGTTTGAATGCAAAACATGCCCCTTTGTTGTTGATGCAATTCCTTAAGGGTTCCCCCTAGTAACAAAACATATTGTGACTTGGTGCACAGTGAGAAGTAGAAGTGTCAACTTCTTAATCATTGCCAGTTCAGTTTATGCTGTTGATTCATACCAGGATAAATATAAGGAGCTGATCAGTAATTCTATCGTGGCATTAAATGTGAAAGTTAAGGTGCAGTTTGATTTTATTCATATTCTTTTAACCATAATCCATTTTAAACAATACAGTTCATGAACACAGAACCAGCACAAGCAGGTTAAGCACATAGTCCAAGTAGAGGAAACATGACACTTCCAAATTTCTGGGTGCATTGTCTCCATGCCGTAGATTGCTTATCAATGCAAAACATTTTCCAGCAACCCTTTAAATAGAAACAAAGGTGAAACATCATGCAGAACCAGTGAAAGGCAGACTGAAATGCCTGTTTCACTTAATCGTAATTTACACCCTTTGAGAAACTTAATAATGACAAACAAAATTTGGATAAGTATCTGGAATGGCTCATGTTTAGGAAAGAGAACAGGAGTGTATTGAAAGAATCCAACCCACATCCAAAATAATTTTGAAGTAAGTTTTTCCCCTGCCCACCCCCCATCAACGAGCCAACTACAAAAGTGATGCATTAGCTGCATCACCTCCTCTGCATATTAAAAATATGACTAAGTACTGTCCTGCTGACCTAAAGCATCTGTCCTTAACACATTAGAACAGGTGGAAATCTGGCCTGGTGCTGCCAAAATCTGTAGCAATATATTATGTCATAGGATGGCCTGCAGCATCTACAAGGTCAAAAGTAGAATCCCGTTTTTAAAAATGCCACTATAAAGCCAGCTTTAACTACAATCTTATATTCATTTTTAAGGGAGTGAATGCAATTGCATTCAGTTGGACTGACTTCTGAGTAGACATGCAAACAATTTTGGTATAAGAACTACCTAGCCCCTAATCATTCTGTGTCAGACACAGAAAGCCCATTCTGTGCTTTTCCATCAGTCTCTAGGCTACCTTTTTTGAGAAAGTGACAGAATGATTTATGGAGAGAAACATACTGCAATATTGAAAGCTCATGTATCTGTGGGGCAAATAATTGGTCTTTAGTTTCATGATGGAGTCTAACTTAGCACACAGGTCAAAAGCTGCAGAATGATGAGTGAGCTACCACATTGTTCTATAAAATGCTCCATTTTGGTTTTAGAAGGAAGTACATCAAATGGATCTCCAAGAAAATGTGCCTCATATTTTCTTTCTGAGTTCAATTTAATGGAAATGACAGCTGATAAAACAAAGAAATTGATTTGCATTGTTGGAAAACTATATTTATTGTCTAGACTATAGGTTGTCATTTTTCCATACCCTCACCCTGTCTCTCTCTCTTTCTCTGCCCCCCCCCAAAACAGGTTCCATATTCTGAACTTGGAGGAAAAACCTTAGTGATGGCAGTATATGACTTTGATCGTTTCTCCAAACATGATATAATTGGAGAGTACAAGGTGCCAATGAACACTGTGGATTTTGGTCATGTAACTGAGGAGTGGCGGGATTTGCAAAGTGCTGAAAAAGAAGAGGTAGGAAACATACATCTATTCATACATCTATTTGCAGCATTCTTCAATCTTGAAACAATCTCCTTTTAAAGTGGGCCAAAATGTGTTGTGTCAAGGAGACCTACAAAGAAACCTACAAGATATTTTTGCTTAAAAGAGTATTATCTGAGTAGAATATTTTGAAAGTATTTATGAATACAAAGGCTTCTTGGCTTTTTGGCTAAGATCAAGTGGGTGTATTTATGAAATTTTGTATTATCTGAGATTAAATCTAAAGGGATATACAATTTCGTGAACATTTTCCCTTTCACCCCCATAAACATTTTTCTTATAAATTTTCAAAATATACCATGGGAAGAGCATTATTTTAACCTGAAATTCATGTAGGTTTCCTTGCTTCATCTGCTTTCATGACTGAAGTTTGATTTTATATTTAATGGAAACATCAATAACTTTATTTTTCCACACAACTGGAAAAAAATTGTAAAAAATGTGCTGTCATTTCTCCTAACTCCATCCCTCCCCTTCTCTTCTACACTCAGTGTTTTTGTGCCAAAAATATTCCTTCTGGAGAGAAAGTGTGCTTTGGAAGCACTAATGATGTTCTGTGTGGTTTTGATTGCTTTGAAGGGAACTTTAGTTTTGGTTGTTTTGGAGGAAAATCCACTACAAATCCACTGCAAATAATAATTCTGTTTTGGCTACACAGTAAACAGGACTTGAAGTAGAACAAGGACTTGGCTTCTCTGTTATGTTTCAAAAAGTTCCTTGCTTCAGAATATAACTTTGAATAATTACAGCGCATGCATTTCATGATAAATGAAGTAAGCCTTCAATTATTTTTGTTCATCTTTCTGATTATGTTTTAGACCTATTCAGGTGAGAAGCCAATGAATGTGGGAAATTGCCCTGTTTATATTACCTAGAAAATTAAACAATGTCTATTTCTCTTTTATAATTATCTTGAAAATGTACAAGATTTGGAGTAAATTTGCATTTTTATTTCTTCCATCAAACTTAGCATAATAGTTTGGCTTTTAGGTTATATTTGTGTATATAAACTGATGGAGCTATCATCTTTCAAATTCTTTTATGATAGTTTGGCTTTTAGGTTTTATGATGTTTATGGTTCATATAAAGATTTTGTTATAATTGCAGTTAATACATGGTCTACACATTTAATTTTCTATAACTCAAAGACTGCCTCTAAATCCCCATACATTCTATTCATTCCTGTTTAGGTAACCAAGAGCTATTTCCCTGTGTAAGGCACTGTTAAGTTTATAGCAGAAATGGCTAATATCCATAGAGCCAGAAGCCAGAAACACCCATTTCAGGACCTTGAAGGACCAGTTCTATGATATTTGCACTTCCTTTTTATTACAAAAAGTGGACCTTTTGCTGAAAAAGCTCCTCAGTTCAAATCTTCCATTGGGCATTTGCCCAATGAAGTATATTTCTTCTTTCAGAGGGCAACACATTAGGGGCCACCCTATCTTATACTTCCTACATAACTGTCTAGTGTGACCTGATTAAGATTACTGCTAGTCTATTTTGGAGTAAACTAACTTAACAACACCCTTGCTCTGGCTGATCTGGAATGAGAACCTTCCCATTTTCTATTTAATTACCATCAGAACCAGGGATTTAAAGACACTGTGAACCTTTTTTAGTGATTTATCATTGGAAAGGAACCATGGGTTTAATTTCTGCATCTCATGGCTGAAGCATATATCTCTGAAGAAATTATGCTGTGGGAAGGAAATACAGTTTATTCTAGAGAACACCCATAGTGTCTTAAAGCATCTGTCCTTAACACATTAGAACAGGTGGAAATCTGGCCTGGTGCTGCCAAAATCTGTAGCAATATATTATGTCATAGGATGGCCTGCAGCATCTACAAGGTCAAAAGTAGAATCCCATTTTTAAAAATACCACTATAAAGCCAGCTTTAACTACAATCTTATATTCATTTTTAAGGGAGTGAATGCAATTGCATTCAGTTGGACTGACTTCTGAGTAGACATGCAAACAATTTTGGTATAAGAACTACCTAGCCCCTAATCATTCTGTGTCAGACACAGAAAGCCCATTCTGTGCTTTTCCATCAGTCTCTAGGCTACCTTTTTTGAGAAAGTGACAGAATGATTTATGGAGAGAAACATACTGCAATATTGAAAGCTCATGTATCTGTGGGGCAAATAATTGGTCTTTAGTTTCATGATGGAGTCTAACTTAGCACACAGGTCAAAAGCTGCAGAATGATGAGTGAGCTACCACATTGTTCTATAAAATGCTCCATTTTGGTTTTAGAAGGAAGTACATCAAATGGATCTCCAAGAAAATGTGCCTCATATTTTCTTTCTGAGTTCAATTTAATGGAAATGACAGCTGATAAAACAAAGAAATTGATTTGCATTGTTGGAAAACTATATTTATTGTCTAGACTATAGGTTGTCATTTTTCCATACCCTCACCCTGTCTCTCTCTCTTTCTCTGCCCCCCCCCAAAACAGGTTCCATATTCTGAACTTGGAGGAAAAACCTTAGTGATGGCAGTATATGACTTTGATCGTTTCTCCAAACATGATATAATTGGAGAGTACAAGGTGCCAATGAACACTGTGGATTTTGGTCATGTAACTGAGGAGTGGCGGGATTTGCAAAGTGCTGAAAAAGAAGAGGTAGGAAACATACATCTATTCATACATCTATTTGCAGCATTCTTCAATCTTGAAACAATCTCCTTTTAAAGTGGGCCAAAATGTGTTGTGTCAAGGAGACCTACAAAGAAACCTACAAGATATTTTTGCTTAAAAGAGTATTATCTGAGTAGAATATTTTGAAAGTATTTATGAATACAAAGGCTTCTTGGCTTTTTGGCTAAGATCAAGTGGGTGTATTTATGAAATTTTGTATTATCTGAGATTAAATCTAAAGGGATATACAATTTCGTGAACATTTTCCCTTTCACCCCCATAAACATTTTTCTTATAAATTTTCAAAATATACCATGGGAAGAGCATTATTTTAACCTGAAATTCATGTAGGTTTCCTTGCTTCATCTGCTTTCATGACTGAAGTTTGATTTTATATTTAATGGAAACATCAATAACTTTATTTTTCCACACAACTGGAAAAAAATTGTAAAAAATGTGCTGTCATTTCTCCTAACTCCATCCCTCCCCTTCTCTTCTACACTCAGTGTTAGAAATATTGCTTCTGGAGAGAAAGTGTGCTTTGGAAGCACTAATGATGTTCTGTGTGGTTTTGATTGCTTTGAAGGGAACTTTAGTTTTGGTTGTTTTGGAGGAAAATCCACTACAAATCCACTGCAAATAATAATTCTGTTTTGGCTACACAGTAAACAGGACTTGAAGTAGAACAAGGACTTGGCTTCTCTGTTATGTTTCAAAAAGTTCCTTGCTTCAGAATATAACTTTGAATAATTACAGCGCATGCATTTCATGATAAATGAAGTAAGCCTTCAATTATTTTTGTTCATCTTTCTGATTATGTTTTAGACCTATTCAGGTGAGAAGCCAATGAATGTGGGAAATTGCCCTGTTTATATTACCTAGAAAATTAAACAATGTCTATTTCTCTTTTATAATTATCTTGAAAATGTACAAGATTTGGAGTAAATTTGCATTTTTATTTCTTCCATCAAACTTAGCATAATAGTTTGGCTTTTAGGTTATATTTGTGTATATAAACTGATGGAGCTATCATCTTTCAAATTCTTTTATGATAGTTTGGCTTTTAGGTTTTATGATGTTTATGGTTCATATAAAGATTTTGTTATAATTGCAGTTAATACATGGTCTACACATTTAATTTTCTATAACTCAAAGACTGCCTCTAAATCCCCATACATTCTATTCATTCCTGTTTAGGTAACCAAGAGCTATTTCTCTGTGTAAGGCACTGTTAAGTTTATAGCAGAAATGGCTAATATCCATAGAGCCAGAAGCCAGAAACACCCATTTCAGGACCTTGAAGGACCAGTTCTATGATATTTGCACTTCCTTTTTATTACAAAAAGTGGACCTTTTGCTGAAAAAGCTCCCTAGTGACCAAACTTTAAAAAAAAATACAAAGGGGGCAGCTGGGAGGGAGACTCAGAATATGGCAAAATTGCCCCCTAGATTATAAAGAGGCTTGCTGAGCCTTTTTCTCATTTAAGTTTATAGCAGAAATGGCTAATATCCATAGAGCCAGAAGCCAGAAACACCCATTTCAGGACCTTGAAGGACCAGTTCTATGATATTTGCACTTCCTTTTTATTACAAAAAGTGGACCTTTTGCTGAAAAAGCTCCCTAGTGACCAAACTTTAAAAAAAAATACAAAGGGGGCAGCTGGGAGGTTTTTTTGGCCCGCAAAATATGCCTCTTAAGCTTGCCTTCTGTTTTTGTATATTCTGAAAAGCGTTTAGAAAAAGAAATTGTTTGCTGCTGAAATGTCATGGCTTATCCACTCTCCTGTATACTTCCTACATAACTGTCTAGTGTGACCTGATTAAGATTACTGCTAGTCTATTTTGGAGTAAACTAACTTAACAACACCCTTGCTCTGGCTGATCTGGAATGAGAACCTTCCCATTTTCTATTTAATTACCATCAGAACCAGGGATTTAAAGACACTGTGAACCTTTTTTAGTGATTTATCATTGGAAAGGAACCATGGGTTTAATTTCTGCATCTCATGGCTGAAGCATATATCTCTGAAGAAATTATGCTGTGGGAAGGAAATACAGTTTATTCTAGAGAACACCCATAGTGTCTGGTTTGACCCTGAAACAATCTTTATTAGAAGTGCCGATAGTTATGCCATGATTCTTCAGTTTGTAGCTCAGCCAGACAGCTAGGTTTGCTTTGTTTACAGAATAAAATGTCACAGAACGCTCAGATAATGCTCAGGAAAAAAACTGAAGAGGAGACGGTTTAGGCCAGATGCGCATTGATGGGCACGTGTTTGGCTTGTTAGTACTCATCAGCATAGTACCACAACCTGGCCCGCTAATTACAGTGAAAGCATAATTAAAATCAACTTTAAACCCTCAGCAACTGGATCCCATCCAAAACTGTACAACAAATGTAATTATGTTCATTTGCTGTGACGACATTTTATAACAGCCTTCACTTTTTCACTGTGCTTAACACAGAAAAGCAAATTCAGAGATGCTCTGTTCAGTTGCAGTAATAAAATGCACACTGTTATGAAGAGTTTTCACTCATTCCTCGCTCCACATTTTAACTTCTCACTAAGAGGGATTACAATAAAATTGGCAATTAATGCTGTGAAATGAATCCTTGAAAAAGTTCCCTTGTGACCCTGAGGGAAAAACCATTTCAGTCTCCAATAATGACAATCATGGCCATTCGCATAGTCACCTAAAGCAACCTCAGCCTGCCTCCTGTCTCAGTCCTAATCTTACTTTTCTTTACAAAGAACTCGGTTGTTATACATAATCACATATTTTTAATGAGCACTGCAACCTCGGAGGAGGAAAAGCCTCTGACAAGCAGTTGCCCTCTTCGGTGCTAACTCAAATTCAGTCTGTTTCTCAGCCTTATGCCTAAAAGGGTCAGGAACAAAATCAAAGGATGAGTTTTAATGAGACATGAGAGGCTTTCTTTTGTATCTCGTGACCCAAGCAAATTTTAAAATGAGCTTTGTGGCCTTTCTCCCATTTCTCTACAAAATGTATGATGAATACATTAATGTTGGTAAAGCACTTTGAGGAGGAATGTTGTGTACATATTTGTCATGCTCTGTGGGGGTTTTAAGGAACTGCTCTCATCTGCAAAATGATTGCTGGATCTCGAACAGGTCATTACATATGTGGTCCAAGCCATGGCCCGGTTTTACCTTATTCCATTTAGTCTTGTTAATGTTAACACTTGATTGCAGCTGGTGTCATGTAGCTTCAGGAAGGGTCAGAGTCAGACATTGCTAGGCAAGAACTGGTGGAAAAGGATACAAAGAAATCAAGAATGGATTAAGACACAGCGAGACCTAAGCTACATCAGGCTTAGAAGTGGGGCTGAACGCTTCAGTGAGGGAGCAGTGAGAATGGGGAAAAGGTAAATTAAAGGAGAACTTTGGGTTCCATTCCTATTTGACTTTTTGGTGGTTTTTGTGGCTGATTGGCTTATTTAAATATCGACAGACTTTAACCTACTTCCTCGGAGGTGCCAGCTGTGATTTATTACATGAATGAAATGGTGAAAAACAGCAGAGCTATTATGCTGATCCACAATGCTATACAAAGTCATTTTGTACACCAAGACTATACGGACAAAATCCACAAAGACTCCATCCCACTCAGGCCCATTGTAAGTGCCATCGGCTCCCAGATATATGAATTAGCAAAATACCTAGCCACCCTCCTACAGACCCACATTGGACAAACCTCATCCTACATCAAAGACTCAGGACATTACAAAAGAAAGATCAGCACCCTAAAACTCAATCCAGGGGACAGACTGATCAGCTTTAACGTAGTACCCCTATTCATCAAGGTACCGATAAAGGACACTCTGACACTCCTTCAGCAGATCTTTCCAGAAGACATCAAGGCCCTTTTCAACAGTGTCTAACAACCAGCTATTTTCAATGGCATAATGAGTTCTATGAACAGACAGATGGAGTGGCCATGGGGAGCCCCCTGAGCCCAGTTATAACAAACTTCTACATGGAACATTTCAAAAAACAGGCCCTGGCTTAGGCACCCTTCGCACCCACAGTCTGGTTCGAATATGTGGATTATACCTTTGCAATTTGGAACAGCATCCACCCAAATATACAATTCACCATGGAAAAAGTAATAGAGGGTCAACTCCTGTTCTTAGATGTTATGGTCATATGCAAAACTGACCTCCTATTGGGACACAAAGTCTACAGAAAACCCACCCACACAGACTGGTACCTACACAAAAAGTCCAACCACCACCCACTGAAGAGGAAAAACAGCCACCCACAAATAAAGTATTTCTACCGTACATAAAAGGGGTCATGGACTGCATGAGGAAACCTTTGGGGGAAAAACACAACCTACAAACAGTATTCAAGCCCACCACAAAAATACAACAAATGTTACAGTCAGCAAAGGACAAAAGGGACCACCTCATCACTATAGGAGTATACCAGATACCTTGCAGTTGTGGCCAGGTATATATTGGAACCACAAAACGCAGCATCCACACCAGAATCAAAGAACATGAGTGATACTGCAGACTAAAACAACCGGAAAAATTGGCAATAGCTGAACATGCCCTAAAACAAGATGGACATGAAATTCTATTTCAAAATACAGAAGTACTGGACAGCACCAGCAATCATTATGTTCGACTGCATAGATAAGCCATTGAAATCCACAAACACCAGCAGAACTTCAACAAAAAAGAAGAAAATTTAAAACTCAACAAAGCCTGGCTCCCAGCACTGAAAAATACAGTCTGCAAAAGGTCAGCAAACTCTACCCAGCCACAAGAACCAGTGATCACTGCACACAAAAGACCAGCTAACGACACCCATCAATCACAGTGACAGATATTCACTCCCTCTTATCACAATACACCCACGACAAAAACACACTGATCAACATAATCACCCAATCTCCTAAAAAAGGACAAAAGCTGATCCCACAGCTATAAATACTTAACTATCTGAAAAAACTGCACCAGAGCACGGACAGAGTTCTGTCTTCAGTTCTCTGAAGATGCCAGCCACAGAGACTGGTGAAACATTAGGAAGAAAAACCTTAAGAACACGGCCAAACAGCCTGGAAAACCCACAATAACCATTGGATCCCGGCTATGAAAGCCTTTGAAAATTCATTTTGTAAAGCTTCAGTTGTATGTGGGTGCTCTATTTCTTCTGTTTTCTGGAGCAGTATGGCCAGCTCTTTCATTCAGCAGAATGAGTAAGTCATCTTAGGCAACAGCTTTTAGGTGTTGTAGAAAGAAGGAAATTTCCTACTATTTAAGAATTTGAGTCTTGTCCAATTTAATTTGGATGCATAGGAGCCACCATTTGCTATTATGACCTCACAGTACAACATGGCCTTAGCTGGCCTGATATATCTACAGCATATTTTGTCATTGAAAAAGAGAAGGATAACCCATCCCATATATTTTAACCATGTAATGGTTGTATGGAGATAATACAGGAGGACTGATGTTGGACCAGGTATAGTCCTATGAGTGACTTCATGTGGGGATAAAATTCTTTGGTAGGGAACATCAACATTTTTTGCATTAGAACATTGGGACTTCTGTTTCGTTTGTTTGTAGAATGGTCAAAAATAAGGTGGGGCATTCTGAGGCTGACTGTGCACAATAGTTCTCATGCTGCAGTCCATCATGTTGCCAGTCTCTTGGGAGAGAAATTAATGGGAAGTAAAACATGCAATGAAATACTGTCACATAGTTTCCTCCTATTCATCATAGCTTTCAGCCAGTGCTATTCTCTACCAAGATATTCTATTTTATTTCCACCTCCTTATCTCTAATTTGATGCAACTTTCCCTCAAGAGACATTCAGTAGTCTGTGGCCACTAAACATGCTCCATTCTTACTGGGTAATTTCAGCTCCATTTGTGTTTTTAAATGCAGGGTTTTCTTCTTAAGAAATTGTACATATCTTGGGATTCCTCAGGCCTGCTGGTGTTTTGTGCTATTTTGCCTACATACAGATTGTCACTTGAATCCATTATTAGAATAGCTGGTATCTGCTGTTCAAGTGGGGAAACTGCAGTACTGGAAGTAGCTCTTTACAGATAACACTGAAGTGTGTTTCTATGAGTGTACAAATCCTGTTAAAGCACTGCTGGGTTTTAATCTAACCCAGAATTATTTTAAAAGAATTGTACAGTACTGTATTGACTTCATCATGATTTAAAAATTGTTAGAACCTATACAATAATTAGCCGGCTGGATAACTCAGTGATTTCGATCTCTGACTGCAAAACCAAAAGGTTGAAAGTTCAATTCTTTGCTGTGCTTCCCAGAGGAGCCAGCCTGTGTGGCCCCGAGCAAGCTGTACGGTCCAGGATGTCCCCAGAAGAAGAGAATGATAAACCACTTCTGAGTACTGTATCCTGGGAAAACCCTGGAATGGGTCATCACCATACGTCAGAATTGACTTGGCAGCACACAATTATTATATACAAAAATCAGTCCATCTCATAGGCTTTATGTCTATGGTGTATATGTAAAGTGAATAATCCAGCAAGAAGTATGTTTCATTGTGGCTTGTGCAGGTCCATGTTCCCCTGAATTGTGCCCAAAAGGAATAGAAAGGAAAATGTGCATTTCTGAAAAGGTTAAAGACAAAGAGTTAGGAGGAGCAGTCTGAGAAAAAGAAAGCTTAGTCATTTTCTTCACATTCCCCTTGCCAATTTTTAAATGCCAATTTGGACCATGTTAGAAATTACCATAGTAACCATTTAGCCTCTTTTCAGATCTTGTTGCATTTTCACTTTAGTTTCAACGACTTGCTGAACTGACATTTAAAGCACTTTGTACTGTAGCTGTGACAGACAGAATGTATTTATTAAACAAAAGGAAATAAATGTATTGCACAAAGTACAATATCAAAAAGAATAGTAATTGGATTCTCATTATAAGTTGCTGTAATAGTGTTAGACAGGAAATACATGGTTTTGAATATTTTCCAGTGGGTTTATTGAGAATGTACAATGCAGAATGAAAGACAAGTCTCCAGTCACAATGTGTGGTTATTTTAGCGACAAATGAAAAGAGATTTTTATTTCATAAGAATTGCTTTGGCAGATCAAACTAATATGCAGCTAGCCCAGAATTCTGTTTCCAGCAGAAGATAGCCAGATGTAAGCCAGATGTGAATGGGATGGACTCCTTCATAGTGTGCCGCTCTGATGTGGTACTCAGATATTTGTTGCCTTTGCTCAAGGTGGCATCTTACATCTTCATGACCGATAGCTTTCGTTAAATGTATCTTTAAATAATTTGTGCAGTTCTTTAAAAATTGTCATCTACATTGCTCACCATCACCAGGTCTTCTGGAGGTGAATTTCAACAGCCAATTGTCTTCATATTGAGCGACTCGAAATCCTAATATATTACAGGGGAGATAAGGGGGAATGAATTGTATTGCCCAGTTTTCCTATGTACTTCTAATGTTTTCTATATTTCTACCAAATCATTTATTAGGGTGTGATCAGATGGCGAGAAAGGGGCACCTCTGATCATGACAGAAAGTGTTGTTTTGCTGGGAGTAATCTCCCTTAAAGCAACCTTTCGGTCTAGCCCAGCCCAAGAAAGGAGTAGCCCTACTTCTAGACCAAAAAAAGGTCCAGCTTGGGGAGAGATTGGATCATGCTGAATCACTGTTGCCTGTATGTCATGTGATTGCTGAGAAACAGCTTGCACTTTACTATGCCACAAGTGGTCCAAAATGTGATCCAAAATGTGATCTTTGTACCCATGTAAGCATGGAGGCTTGTGGCATAGAGGTTAAACTGTAGTATTACTGTGAGGACTGCTCACAATCAGTGTTCGATCCCAACAAATTCTGGCAGCCAGCTTGAGGTTCACTCAGCCTTCCAGCCTTCCAAGGTCAGTAAAATGAGTACCTAGCTGGTGTAGGGGCCATTGTGTAGTTTATATAATTAAATTAATTGTAAACTGCTCTGAGAGTGTTTTAAGCACTATGAGACCATATATAAGCAGTACAACTTTTGCTCTTACCACACCCAAGGTCGATCTTTTTTCCCCCACTCACAAATGTTTTATCTCCTCAAATAAGCTGGCTACCCTTTGGCAATATATAATGGCTTTAATACAATAATTACTACACTGTTATTAAGATGTAAATGTCTAAATGTCCTACTTATAGCCAGTCTTTAAAAAAATTAATCAAATCAAATTTTTTTGAGGGGGGGCCGAATCTGGACTGCCTCACAGTGAGCAGAAGTCCTTGC